TCTACTGCAGATCCTTGTTCCATAAATGTTGAAGGGTTTTTTTACCTGTTTTTTCTTCTTTACATTCAGTTTTATTCTGCATGTTCCAGCAGAGGGCGCCGTAGATCAGAGGACAGTGCCGTCATCGAGTTGAGTTTGAGTTGAAATATATAAATATAATAAATGAAGCACTGGTGGAACATGACAAGTTCAAGGTTAAATCTTTGGCTGTTAATGGTTTTGCCAACTTCAGGGTCGGGGTCCGTTACCAGGACACGGTCTTTGGCCCATTTGTATCTTATACGTCCTGGATCCAATATGGATCCCCCCCCCCCATCTACTGGGGGGTTTCCAAGAAAGCTGAATATTTATGGCTCAGATTCAGTCCATATTTTCTGCCAATTGTTGTGGACCAGTGGCACATGGTCCACAACCAGGAACCAGTTTACTACCTGAATGAATCTCATGAAAGTTTGTTTGATTTGTGACCTAATGTTGGCTCCAGGGACGGTGACTGGACTCTGGGGTCAAAACCCGTCAACACATCTGAAACAGAGGATATTTGACTGAAGAGTCTTTAACAAATACCTCAAGTACAGAAGAGTACTGTACTGTACAGTACTGTAAAATACTGTACTACAGTACTGTACAGTACTGTAGAGAATGGTTCTGGTCCAGGTCCTGCCAGGGAGAGGTACTGGTACTGTTAGAGAGGACGCTGGCATTCAAACTGATGTTCATCCAATGGTCTGTGCGCTGATCAATCAGTCAGTCAATCAATCGGTCAGTCAGTCAGTCAGTCAGTCAGTCCGTCAATCAGTCAGTCAATCACTGTCAGTCAGTCAATCAATCAGTCAGTCAATCAATTAGTCAGTCAATCAATCAGTAAATCAGTCAGTCAATCAGTAAATCAATCAGTCAGTCAATCAATCAGTAAATCAGTCAGTCAATCAGTCAGTCAATCACTGTCAGTCAGTCAATCAGTCAGTAAATCAATTAGTCAGGCAATCAATCAGTAAATCAATCAGTCAGTCAGTCAATCAGTAAATCGGTCAGTCAATCACTGTCAGTCAGTCAAACAGTCAGTCAGTCAATCCATGGATTTCTTTTTTCTGACTGACTGCAGTTTGTTGCTAATCTAATTAGCATCTTAGCTTTTCCCTCGGACGACTTTACGTTCTTTTCAAGCTAGCTCTACGTATTATGCATGATTCCAGTTGAAGCTTGTTTTTGTATATTATTGTGTATCACTACAAAGTACATTTGTATAAATACTGTTTGTTTGTAGTAGAAAATTCTGCTCTGGGACGGTTTTAAAAACATTGTTATTGTTTAACAGTCAGTACGGTTTAACTAACTAGTATTATTAACTAGTAATATTTGATAGTATGCCAGTTCAATATCTGAGGCAGCTAATATTTATTACATATTTCAGTTGAGCAACACTATTTGCCCCTCCCCCCCCCCGACAGAGATTCATTTGTCAAACAACTTTAAGTAGAAACAGAAAAACCAAGAGGTTTGTTGGTTAGAAACATTTATTTAAAGTTTTTAAAACAGAAAAAGATTTGCCCTGAATTGAAGCTGGAATAAAGTAGACGTAAGCTAAACAGAGTGAAATGATGAAGCTAATTGTGTGTAGTTAAAGGATATTTTAGTAGACAAATACAAATGACGGCTAAAATCTGTTAGTGAAACAGAAAAATAATAAAACAGTCCAAAAAAATATTTCTAAGTTTCTAAAAATAATTATGATAATGATAATGTAAAATCTAATCTTTCCAAATTATGGGAAAATTAAAAATAGAACAAAATTATTCCATAAATTCCCTTTCAGGAAATAAAAATGTTTTCAAATCAGACTTGGTCAAAACATTTGGTCAAATGTTTTCTTTTATTATCGTTCTGCAAAATATAAAAAATATTATACCTGTAACTGCAGTACCCCTGAACGAACACTAGATCACAACAGCCCCATCACTCTATTAACCCACGTTAATGAGAAGAAGTACTACAGTGCAGTAGTACCTGTTGTGAGTTGTTTTCTCCTCCGTCTTTCTGTGTCAGTTACTGTGCAGACCAGGTGACCCGTCCTCTTCATCCCCCTGCCTTTTCATTGGTGTTCAGGTGGTGACATCATCAGATGTTTTGGATGTTTGCTGTAGATCAGTGTTTCCTTCAGTCATCATTAACCAGCATTAAATACAATTATTAGTCACGAGGGCCGTGTCAAGGTTAGCGAGGTCGTCAAGGTTAGCAAGGTCGTCGAATACAAGAGATAGATACAAACGTAGTATTTTCCGACAGTAAATATTCGTTTCTGTAGTTCCTGTCCCCACAAGTACAGGTATACCAGGAGAACACACACACTCCTCCCTGTGTTTCGTGGTCACTTCCTCCACACACACATTCTCTTCCTCCTCAGATTAACCTCAACTAAATCTATCCCTAATCCCAAACTTAATCCCCAAACTATGTCCCAACACGACACATACACGCACACACATCAGATTTATCACGTGTACCACTAGAGGGCGTCCAAGTAACAGCAGTTATACCACTGAACCACTGAACCCAGAGTAAATACTTTGCTGTTTGAACAGCGACCGTTTGTGTTTTTTTCTTCCCCTCCTCCCTCCGCGTATGTGACAGCAGGTGGCGCTGTTGCTTCGGTTGTTGTGACTCAGGCGTCCATTCTCAGATGTACATAGTCATCGTTTCTGTTTGTTTTCTTCTTCTGTGCCACAGAAATCACCATAAGCTGTTTTTTTGTTTTCTGTGAAATAAAGAATATTTTATCACACGTTCATTTGAACTTGACTTTTTCACCTAATTATTATATTATTATTATATGTCGTTACTTTTCCTTTAGCTCTTATTTCCACTGTTTTTCCTTATTTTTCTTTCTTTTTCCTTATTTCATTTCTGTTCTTCTCTAATTTTCATTTTCATCTTTTTTACAGTAAAACATTTTTCAACCCTTAGTTTTAAATTCTCCCTTGTTTTGTTAACAATTTATTTAATTAATTCCGTCGTATCCCTGCTGTTTTCTGACAATATAGACTAAATATATCAAATATGTTACATAAATTCTGTAGTTTGACTATTTTTTCTTTTTACTCTTATTTATTATTTCAGTTTTGTTTATAAATCATTGATCTCCTGATTCATATCATTTTGTCTGAACAGAGAAAATCATTGTTTTTACAGATGAATGAAAACTTCTTTCTGTGATAATAACAAACAACATAACAGTGAAGCAGTCCTGACGTCACACATCAGTTCTTTTCACTGTTATGGCAGAACAGTCTGGTACAGTACAGTACAGTACAGTACAGTACAGTACCTCTTTGAGAATAAAAACAGACCTGACGCCATGTCAATGGAGGTGAACTACAGCTAACTGGCGCCATCTAGCGGACATCAAACTTCACTAATACGTTCATCAGAAGCAACAGCGTCACAGAAAATCAAATCAATACATTTTATGTAATGAAAACATTTTAGTTTTCTTATTTTCACATAAAAAACTTAAATACATTCTTGAAGTACTTTATTCTTTAAAGTAGGATGTTACACTCTGGTGTATATCTTCGAGTACTTCAGCAGTGTTTTCAATACAGCAGTGGAATGTATGTGAAAAAGTATTCAAGACTTCAGTTTGGTTTCATGTTTTACTTCACCTAAATATAACATCGTCGTCAGTCAAAAAGTCCTGAGACTGATGTGTCTGACGGTAACCATCGTGACCCGTTCGACCTGCTCCGTCTCCAGACCCTCGGACCAGTTGTCTAGGGTTGACCTCGGTGACCTTTGACCTCTGCTGAGATCTTATGAAACAGAATTCTGGGTCAATTCTTCCTGAAATATTTTCTGACGGCTGTCAGATGAAGAAGACGGTTCTTTTCTGTCCTCCTCCTCCCCTGGTCTAACACTGGTCATCACCTGGTCCTCACCTGGTCATCACCTGGTCCTCCCCTGGTCATCACCTGGTCCTCACCTGGTCCAACTCAACTGTTTTACTGCAGCAAAGGTCAGTTACTTCCTTGAATTGTGCCGACATAATCCACACATTTTCCTGAATTTATTTTTTGTTCTTTATAAATAACCCTGGAGATTCTGAAGGACGAATGTGGGAACCTCTGAGTAAGAGGACGGAGACTCGGACGAGAAGTTCTGGTCGGACAGCAGTTTGGTGTGACGTCAGGACGGATCTGACGTCTGCCTCATGGATGTCAGTACTGAGGTAAAGAGAAGGTCAGACAGCCGCGCCGAGTCTCACTGAACAGGTGACTGGAGCGGCAGAAAAGTACTAGTTGATCCAAGAATGAGGTGAGGTGTGCAGCCAGAGGGGCAGAAGGGTTCTACTGTTAGCTCTTCACTCTCATTTTCTACTGTGACTTTTTAAATTAAATATTGGACAAGTTAAACTAGACATTTTCACAAAATAATAAATAATTGAAGTCTATTTTACAGATAACCTGAAAGACAGATCATATATCCAGGTACAGCTCAAAGTGAAAGGCTAGTAAAAAAAATCTGGCAATTATGGCACTAAATATTTCCCATGATCCTTGGAAAATCCAGTAGAATATTGAGTTAACTGTCCCGAGAATCAAATCATTTGGTAAATTCTATCATTTTGTGGAAATGAAAACAAAAAAAACAGAAGTGATCGGATTCTCTTCACTGACAAAATTAAAACCAGAAGTGATTGGATTGGATTCTCTTCACTGACAAAATTAAAACCGTTTTGTTTTGTTTTTCCCAGTGTTATTCAGTCAAGTGTGACGTTCACTATCGACAGTTGGCTCCCACAGCTGGGGGGGGGGGGGGGGGGGGGGGCTTATCTAGACGTCGATGGCCACTCCATGTTTGGTGGAGATCACATCCCTGGTTCCTGTCAGGTACATGAGCACTGAGCACAGGTGAGGAAGTGTGGCTGTAGTACTGATGTACAGCCAGTAGGGGATCGGAGCAGTTTGGCCAAACGGACACATCCACAATCCGTGTCGCACGGCATCACGGACGTGGTGCGTCGCCATGGAGATGAAGAGCATCCAAGGCAGCGAGCACCAGGCGTCCTTCAGGCGGCCAATCCACATGAGGAAGCGGAGGGAGAGACACAGGACGGGGATGAGGGAGGAGCAGTGGAGGGGGGGGCGCTGGGGGAGAGACACTGCAGCCTGGGAGAAACCACAGAAGAAACGTTTCAGGAAAAACTGGACACCAAATATGATCTCTGCATTTTACCCATCGTGTGTGTGTGTGTGTGTGAGGGGGGGGGGGCAGCTGGTGGACTCGTACCTGAAACCTCTAACATTTTCATCTTTCTTTACAAAGGTATAAATGAGAACTTCTTTGTACTTGAGTGTTTGTTTGTACAAAGTTCTAGTTTTTTCTAATGTGAAGCTAATCTTGACAATAACGACTTTTCTATTTTATTCTTTTCTAACTTTTTATTAATTATAGTAGGTCAGTTAGTAGGTCAGTCAGTCGGTCAGTTAGTAGGTCAGTCAGTCGGTCAGTTAGTAGGTCAGTCAGTCAGGTGACCAGCTCTACCTTCAGGGACAGGGATCCAGCCATGTAGAAGTGGTCCAGGTCTATGATGGAGGCCAGGAGACCGGCCAGAAGAACTTCATACACGTCGCTCTTTTTCCTCAGTCCAATAACAACCGCCCACGACCACAGACCCACCAATCCGTGGGTGGCGTTGTCCAAGACCGCACGCAGCCACAGGTGGTTCTGGATGACTGACGTTTGGAGAACGTGGTCGGCCACCACGCAGAACATACCCAGTCCTGCGGAGGCCAAGAGGGAGGCGGAGCTAAATGTCTGCAGCAGAGCCTGAGCTTTTTCTGTCTCCACCGCCAGGCTCAGAGGCACTGGGGCAGCAGCACCTCCTCCGAGACCCAACAAAGGGGACGAGGAGGGGGAGGAGTCCAGTTTGGAGTAGAATCCTTGCATCCTGACAGCCGTGGAGGTCAGTTACCACTGATGGTCAGAGAGCTTCAGGTAAACTGGAGGAAAAACACAGACAGGAAGTGACCTGGGGCCGAGGACCTGGTCCACAGCCACAGCATATACAAGACAAAAGAAAAATCCCACAATGCACCACCGAACAAAAGCGTACCAGAAAGTAGCTGTGCCTGTTTAGTTGAACACTGACATACTCACAGGAATTGAAAAAAGACAAAGATCTTCTTCAACAACTCTGGCTCTCTTTTGAGTTTCATAACAATCTGCTGCCACCTAGTGAGAGAATATTCAGTTCTGGCTGTAACTGAATCAATGTCGAACTAAGAAACATTTTTGGCAGTAAATAAAAAATAAGTTTTTAAACCAGTTAAGAGAAATAATTTAATTTAATTTTCCAGATGGGAATCACTGGATCAACAGCTGTTTATGTCGGTGAAGAGATTGAAATGTTCTTTCTTTTTCTGGGAACAGAAAATAAATTGTGAAAAAAAATCATTTCCTTAAGAACATATTAACAAAACTGTTCATTTTTGAGTCGTTGGGCTAGGGTTAGCATAACAAGGTCTCAGGTTATTACAGATTTATTATCTTGGAGATTTTTTGCCATTGAATCTCCAAAATGAAATACTTGGCATTTTTTTCTACTGACAAAGTTAGGCTTTTATTAGCAGACAGGTCTGTAGTGATGTTTCAGTCTGTTGTCTTTGTTAGAACACGGTAAATAAACCAATGTTCTCAGACAACTGCTGTACAGGAAATAGAAACATATATTAGCTGCTGCTTTTAGATCGTACACATCTGGAGCGACGAGAGCAAAAGCTCAATAATATTAGCGGCACTTTGTCGTTTTTCATTGGTCAGAAATAAAATAAAAACATTTAAAAACGCAGACATTAGACTGTAATTACTGTGTAATGACTAGGACAGATTAGCGTCGTGCTAACACTGACTGACGTTGCTTTGTGTAGGCGGACGGCAGCTGTCACTAAGACTCGATGTGATAAAAACGCTCCGTTCTGTTACTTGACAAACTGTACGGTAATAAAAACATCACATTGATGTATTTACCTGATATTTACATATATTTCAATCATTCTATCAACGAGAACACGGTTAAAGTCAAACACTAACCTCATCTCCATCATCTCCTGCGTTAGTGGCTCCCTCACTTCCTCTACGGCGTTTTCAATGGCTAACGGCACTCTGCTGACACCTACAGGCCATTAAGGGAACATCGACTTCCTTGGCTTTTGGAGTCAACACGATGTTGTACTGCATGTGTCTTCGATCTTGTCTCTAAATTACTTATTTTTTGAGAATCTCTGTCATTTATATTGTTTAGAAGTTTTTTAATTGCTGAAATTTATTTTAAATACGTTATAATAAATATAACGTATTCAATGTTGGCATATTGTTTAATTGGGTGTTAATCTAGGTAAGGTGGAACAAACGTTCTACATCAAGAAAACCGACTCGTCTTTCTTTATCACAACATCAGCAATAAACTCAAGTCTCCGGATGTTGGGAAGCACGTGACGTCACACAGACAGGGTTCCAGGTAATTTTCAGCAAAATACAAATTAAGCATTTTTGTTCTGATGTCGAAAAATTCTTATCAGATTTTTAGCAAATTTTTTTAGCGAAATCCTATTTTAGCATGTCATTTTTGAATGTTGAAAAATTATGATGAATTTGTTTTTCATTTTTTCCCCGAAATGTTATCTTTTTTTTGTATGTTTCTCATCAAAATAAAGTGCTGAATCTGAATTGTACAAAAATGTCCATCAAAATCTAATAGAATTTGACCAAATCTGACCCAAAAAGTTCACATTTTGACATAAAATTAAATTAAAAAACTGACAAAAATGTTGTCTAAATGCCCTGATTTGATGAGAAACCTGCGAAAAATAATTTTCCAGAAATGTTCATCAAAATCTTTAAAAATTTGACCGAAAATGGCACTTAAACCTCAGAATTTGACAAAACATTTATTTCAAAAAAATTCTAAAAATGTTCTTTGACTGCCCTGATTTGATGACAAACATGTGCCAAAAAATAAAATTCAGAAAAATAATTTTACAAACGTTTCTGTCAAAATTTTAACAAATTGGACCAAAAATGACACTAAAACTTCAGATTTTGAGAAAAAAAAAGGATACAAAAAATTTATACAAAAAATTTCTAAAAATGTTCTATAAATGCCAGAAAGACAGAGACACACGGTGTGACGGTGTGATGTTGTGACAGTGTGATTGAATGACAGTGTGATGTTGTGACAGTGTGATGTTGTGAGTGTGATGTTGTGAGTGTGATGGAGTGACGGTGTGATGTTGTGACGGTGTGATGTTGTGACTGTGGTGGTGTGATGGTGTGATGTTGTGACGGTGTGATGTTGTGACTGTGTGACGTTGTGACGGTGTGATGTTGTAACAGTGTGACGTGTGACGGTGTGATGTTGTGACTGTGGTGGTGTGACGGTGTGATGTTGTGACGTCCCAGTGCTGACTGTTCCTACTGTTGTCATCCATTATACCTGAAAATTTCCTTTTGTAGTTTTTAAAACCAAAGCCAAAATGAAAGTGTGAACAGGAAATACAAAGATGAACATTGGCGTCTGTTCGTGGTCAGTCTGTCCGTGGTCAGTCTGTCCGTGGTCAGTCTGTCCGTGGTCAGTCTGTCCGTGGTCAGTCTGTCCGTGGTCAGTCTGTCTGTCTGACTCATCGGCTGTGGATGAAAATCAACTCTGTTCTCTCTCGTAAGCATCGCTATAGAAACACATTCAGACTCATCAGGTTTCAGATGTAAGATGGATCACTCTTTCTGGGGGGAGAAAAGGGGGGGGGTGACTCATGACCACATGAATGTGGGGGCTGTGTTACTCCTAAAGAGTGACAATGAAGGGGCCAGATGAAAGTGACTCACACAGAACTTTTTGAGGAACAAAAGTGAATAATTCCCCTGACGATATTTTCAAACAGTGAAACCTAGAAACAGACAAAAACAACCACAGTCAGTCAACAGTCAGTCAACAGTCAGTCAACAGTCATTAGTCAGTATTATTTACACTCATCTGTGAGCTGTGGTGGCTACTGTATGTTAGCAGGTTCACTGACGTTGGCTTCTGAAGTTCCATGGTCTGTCCACTGGTCTGTCCACTGGTCTGTCCACTGGTCTGTCCACTGGTCTGTCCACTGGTCTGTCCACTGGTCTGTCCACTGGTCTGTCCACTGGTCTGTCCACTGGTCTGACACCAGGAATGACACCAGTTCCTGTGCACCTCGTTATTTAACACCTTTTTTATTTGACGGACAACTTTTTGAAGCTACTTTGAAGAACAGAAACAGAAACTTGTTCAAAACAATCAGCCGACTGTTGGACAGTCCAGTCAGTGTCACCCGTCCATATGGTCTGTCCAGAGGTCTGTCTGTCCACCGGGGGGGGCACCCTGACTTCAGACTGTGACAGCTGTTCATCCTCTTTGCTTTAGTCGTTCCCTTTTTTCACAGTTTATGACCTTTGGGGGGAGGGGGGGGTTGGGGGGGGGTTCTTCAGAATAGTGAGCAAAACAGATTATGTGCTGCATATTGTCTCCAGACGGGGTCAGGGGGCTTCCAGTATCTGAGTCAGACCATATTACTGGCAGCCTGTGAGTCACTCGTCATCTTCGCCCTGCTGATCTACCACGCCCCCCCCCCCCCCCTCCCCCCCCCCCCCTCTTTTTTTCCACAGTGTTTTCCTTTTTGTCCTCCATTTTTGG